GTTTCTATTCGGCTATCAGGCCTTCAGCTCACTTACTAACATCACTTTGCTGAATTCTTGTGTCCTCCTTCTTACTATCCCTATAATCAATTGCTTCTAATCTGCCTAGGAAATCAGATAAGTAAGCCTGTTAGATTTGCTTCCAAAGAGTAAGTAAGAAGACAAGTAGGACTCCTAAAGTTCAGTTTAAAAAGCCTTATACTGGCTGCCTCAGTATACCCTTTACTCCTTTCCTTCTTTGGGCGGCATTTCATACAGGTGTTGGTGATGAAGGGCGTGCCTTCTCAGTGTGGTTTGATACCTGATACATTATTGTGTGCCATCTTCAGGCAATTTGGACAAGTTATAATTAACTTTGAAAAATATATGTTCTTTGAGGGCGGAAATGGAACCACTTCCACTGTCTTCATGGCCTCCCTGTGCCTTATTTCCCATATAGTTTTGTGTGTGTCATCTAGTACAGCAACATATATCCTAATTATGGTTCCTCTGGCCTCCAGGCTATTGGCCCATTACATGAGAATGTAAAAAGAATGAAAGCTAAATATATTTTGCTTTAAACAGTCAGACTTCTTTTATAGAAATGATAATGTGAAAGAAATAAAACAGGAGAATAAATAATAAAATACGAGGAGAAAGTCTTATATTTATGCAATATTTACTATATCTACTGCTGTTTATTTCTTTATGTAAATCCAGGTTTCCAACGGTTATCATTTGCCTTTTGCCTGAAGATCTTCCTGTTACATGTCTTGAAGTGCAGCTCTGCTGATGACAATTTTTGTTTGAATACGTTTTTCTTGTGCCTTTATTCTTAAAAGATGTTTTCACTGGATATAGAGTTCTAGGTTACTTCTAGGTTAATACCATTTTCGAGCTGTCATTTCCGTTGTGTTGTGACTTGCAGGGTTTCTGATGAAGGCTGCTGCTACTTTTGTGTTTGTTCCTGTGTGGACTGTGTCTCTTCCTCTGGCTGCCCTTGTCCGGCTTTACGCAGTTTGATTATGGTGTGCTTTTCTATGTGTGGGTTTTGTTTGGGGCGTGCAGCTTCTTGGATCTGTAGGTTTATAGTCTCTATCAAATTCGGAAATGTTTTGGCCGTCATTTCTTAATCTTTTTCTGTCCTTCCTCTTCTTCCCCTTGTCCTGTGGGCCTGCAGTGTTTTGTGTGTTAAACTGCTTGATATTATCCTTCATGTCTCTGAGACTCTATTCCTTTTATTCATTTATTCAGCCTATTTTGTTTCTGTGCTTATTTTGGATAAGTTCTATTGCTATGTTTTTAAGTTCCCTGATTTTTATCTTTACTTCTGCAATGTCTAGTCTGAATTTAATCTCAATGAAATTTTCATTTAAGGTATTATGTTTTTCTTAAAATCTGTAAGTTCCATTGGGTTCTTTAAAAAAAATCTTCCTTTTTTTTTCTTATGATTGTCTATGTATTTTAATATTGAACAGAATTATAATAGAAGTCGTAATATTCTTCTGCCATTTCTCAGAAGTTTGCTGTTTTCTGATTTTTTTTTTGCCCCTTCTGATAATGGGCCACATTTTCCTCCCTTTTGTTATGTCTAGAAATTTTAAAAAAAGGCTTCTCTGTACATAGTGAAGGAATTTTTTATTAGATATGTATTTTGAATGATACGTTGTTAAGCGTCTGTATCTTGTTATATTTTAAGAATATCATGCTTTGTTCTGGCAAAACAGTTAAGTTACTTGAAGGTCTGTCTGATGCCCTGGAGGCCTGCTTTTAAGCTCTGATAGGGCAAATTTAGTTTTATTTTCACTCCAGACATATTTTAATCTCACTAAGATCTGACCTCCCTGGGGTCTCCATTGAATGCCTTGGGTGGGTCACCAAGAACATTCCACTTTGGCTGGTTGGAGCTTTCCGACTTGTGTAAACTCTAAGAACTGTTCATTTCACACCTTCTTGGTTGTTTTTTGCCTTGCTTCGTGGAAGTTCACTCACACATGTGAGTCCTAGAACTTAGCACGTTTCTGTAGCCCTCTTTCTGTGTAGCTTCCTTTTTGCTAAGCTCCGTCCTGTAATTTCTAGCACCCTCAACCTCTCTGAACTCTGTGCTTTATTGCCTGCAGTGTTTAATCTGCAGGGCTACTAAGTTATGAGTTCCCCTTTCTTGTACTTGGTGACCTGGAAATTATTAACACCTCCAGGCAGAAAGTTGGGGTGATTGTCATCAGCTTATCTTGTTTCTTTTTTTTCCTTTCAGGGAGAAACAAACCCATATTCTTATGTAAATTAGCTAAACAGCCAGGTTCTGCATTGCCTATTTTCTGGTGTCTGCAAATAGTTCTTTTATATATTCTGTCAGGTTTTTTAGCTAGTTATTGCAAGAGGTTAAGTCTGGTCCATGCCTAGTCTATCACTGATGCAAGCAAAAATTTCAGGAATTCCATTGAAATTGATTCGTTGAAAATAATTCTTGGCAATTGAATACTGTTCTAAATGACATGCCTTCATATGTTAGAAGACTGAACTAAACATACTTTACATGAATTTTTGAGTGAAGCATGGTGTCTTCATGTTTCCCATTTATTTTTTACCTTTCTCACAGACTGGAACTGTTCCCACTCAGCAGAGTAATGATTATGGCTTAAGGTAGTAGAATAATGACGGCAGTTCAGATGCTTTTGGAGCTCCCCCGAGGACAGATAGGCTGAGTCAGATCTGTCCTTGTCACTACTAATGCTGGCTGTACTTAGTGGGTGACTTCTCCTTTGGGTTGTTCTTATCCTTTACATTAGACTTAAATTTTACTTTTGGGAAAGCCTTATGAACCACCTTCTGAATCCATGGGAAGTCTATGCTAATTAAGAACACTGTGCATCTGAATCTGAAAAATGGATGTGTGGAATGTAAGAACCGTCTTGAAACAGCATGGCATAACAAGATAATCTGGGGGATTTAAAGACATAGTGAAAGCAGCTAATTTGCATAAGGATATGGATTTGTGAAGATGTCTTTCTCTCCTCCTCCCCTTACCCTCTGTTGAATAAACTGAGCCATGTAATTTGGAATGTGCATTGTTGGTGAGTTTTAGGGAGCACTGAGGTCCTGTGTAGACACACTTGGCTGTTGACAATTTAGCTTAAAAAGCAACTAGACCAAGGAAAACAGGGTTCTCTTTGTATCTGTTTTTGGGATAGCAATGATTTATTTCAAAATTACTGGTAAAGAACTAATCCCTCTCTCTCAGAAATCATGAAAATTGCCAGCTATAGATTTTTTTGTTTGCTTTATTTAAATTACTCTTAAGTTTTTTATTTAGCCTCCTGAATGACTCACTCTTGTACTTGATACATAAACTTTAATTTTGCATCACTAAAGTGTTGTTATAAATATGTTGATTTTTAAGAATCCAAAGATGTTTCTTTTTTCCTGAGACAGGGTCTTGCTCTGTCACCGAGGCTGGAATGTAGCAACGTGACCCTGGCTTATTGCAGCTTCAAGCTCCTGGGCTCAAGTGAGGCTCTGCCTCAGTCTTCTGAGTATCTGCGACTACAGGCACACACCACCATGTCTGACATTTTTTTTTTTTTTTTAAATTTTAAGAGACAGAACCTTGCTATATTGCCCAGGCTGATCTTGAACTCCTGGCCTCAAGCAGTCCTCCCATTTTGGCCTCCCAAAGTGGCAGGATTAGAGATGTGCCTTTTTAAAAATTTCAATGCAACTTGAAGGGTACTGATTAGATCCACTGCTGTTTAGAAAAGTTTAAAGTTAGGCCGGGCATGGTGGCTCACGCCTGTAATTCCAGCACTTTGGGAGGCCGAGGCGGGTGGATCACTAAGTCAAGAGGTCGAGACCATCCTGGTCAACATGGTGAAACCCCGTCTCTACTAAAAATACAAAAAATTAGCTGGGCATGGTGGCGCGTGCTTGTAATCCCAGTTACTCAGGAGGCTGAGGCAGGAGACTTGCCTGAACCCAGGAGGCGGAGGTTGCAGTGAGCCGAGATAGCGCCATTGCACTCCAGCCTGAGTAACGAGCGAAACTCCGTCTCAAAAAAATAAAAAAAGAAAATTTTAAAGTTAATGAGCTTATGACAAAATGTTCATCTTCACTGAAAAAGAAATACAACATAGAAGATGAAGTCTTTTTCTCACCTGTCAGATTGATTAAAGTTTAAAAATGGTAATATTGAATAAATGTTGACAAGGATGTGGAAGGATGAGTACTTCTTTGAACTTCTAAGAGAAATGTACATTTATATGACCTCTCTGATGATAATTTTGTCTCTATACATCAAGCACTTTTATACTGTTTGACCCACTATTGTTGTTTCTAGGGTTTTCATTCCTAAAAACTATTGGAAATTCAAACAAAAAACAATGTAGGAAGGTGTTTGCAATCCCACATTTATAATGCTGAGAAATTAAAAACATTCTAACAATAAGAGTGTTTCACCTCTACCATTTTCCAATTACAAAATACATACAATTATTAAAATGGTGGTTATGAAAAAGATACCACTACAGAGGAAAAATTTACATGTTTGAAGTGAGCACTATTCCAATATAATACATACTCCTCTCATCTCACTGTTATTTTAAAATACACCCAAGTGACCAAGTTTAGTGGGTCACGCATGTAATCCCAGCACTTTGGGAGGCCAAGGTGGGAGGATTGAGTGACAGCAAGACTGTATCTCAAAAAAATATATATATATATACAGGGTCAGAAATGTTTCGGAATGTGAAAATAACTATTTCTTAGTGGTGGTTTTATGAGAGACTGTTGTCTTCTTTATATTTGTTCTATTTTTCAAAATTTGAGTGGGAAAGCTTTCTGGGTGTGTGAAAGCAAGTGTGATCTTTGTAGCTTCATTCTGGGCTTAACCTAAGGATTTCCAGACCCTAGAGGGGCACCTTAGATTCCCAAAGAGTATGCAAAATCATTCTGTCTCAAAGACTAGTTGTTTCATAATTGGGTGAAAAAGTATTATTTTAAAATTTGTTTCTCTGCTTACTGTTTAGATAAAAATTTTGATGATGAAGATTCTGTGGATGGTAACAGACCTTCCTCTGCTAGTTCTACGTCATCCAAGGCTCCACCAAGTTCTCGGAGAAACGTCGGAATGGGAACCACCCGCCGGCTTGGTTCATCCACCCTTGGATCCAAGTCTTCAGGTTAGTCTAAGCCCTGTCTGGGGTCACCTATCCCTGCTTTTAAAACCAGAGGTGCAAGTACTTGCCTGTGGTGGCCCTCAGAAGTAATACAGTCCCCATGTGCAGCAGGTTTCTGCTTGCTATTCTTTAATCGAATTAGCATTGTGATACTGATGCTGATAAGCTGGTGAGTTGTAAGTGTGAGCTACTTTGTTGACTTTTGCCACATTCTGGTAAGGTGGAGCCTGTCAGAGAAGGAAGCCAGCACAGAGGAAAGCATAGCTCAGAGATAAGAGCAAGAGCGGGCACCCTCATGGCATTATTTAGTTATCTGGATCCAATACTGCCTGAAACTATAATTTCTATTTAACAAGACAGAGACTAATCCGGAAGTCACACTGTATCTCCTGTCTTTAAAATATGTCTGTGGACTGACCCCTGGGTATTGGGGTGTGTGTGCATGCTCTGCGTGCAGGGTCGGGCTGTGGGTGGTGGAGACCAGCCACCTCTGTTGCAGTTCCTGGTGAGCCATGGCGAGGTGGCAGCTGTTGGTGTGTATGTTGGATGTCGGCCTGAGGTGGAGCTAGGCCAGCGGGAGGTAGCTCTGTGGGAGTGGAAGGCCTATATTTCTCTACCTGGACCGCAGGCTCCTCATGCAGGGAGGGTAGAGCTCAAAACCTCAAAGGCAATCTGTAGAAAGCTGGTTAGTAGCAGTCCCACAGAAGAGTGACCAGACTTTTAAAAGAAAACCAGATAGAAAACAGCAACAACAAAAAAACTCATACAAAGGACCACAGCCTCAAAGATCAAAGGTAGGCCCGCAAAGATGAGAAAGAATCAGCACAAAAGTGCTGAAAACTCAAAACCAGAGTGCCCCTTTTCCTTCAGATGACCACAACCCCTCTCCATCAAGGGCTCGGAACAAGGCTGAGACTGAGATGGCTGAAATGACAGAAGTAGATCTCAGAATGTGGATAATAATGAACTTCACTGAGCTAAAGGAACATAGGGTTGGGGTTAGGATTAGGGTATTCTCATAGGAAGAGAGGAAGTCAAACTATCTTTATTTGCAGATGACGTGATCCTATATGTAGAACACCCTGCTGTCTCAGCACAAAAGCTTCTTAAGCCAATAAACAACTTCGGCGAAGCCTCATGATACAAAATCAGTGTGCAGATATTACTAGCATTCCTATACATCAACATCAGGCAAGCAGAGAGCCAAATCATGAATGAACTCCCAATCACAATGGCCATTGTGATTGGGAGTTCATTCATGATTTGGAATAAGCTAAAGGGAAGTGAGGGACTTCCTCAAGGAGCACTACAAACCACTGCTCAAAGAAATCAGAGACGATACAAACAAATGGAAAAACAGTCCATGTCCGTGGATAGGAAGAATTAATATGAAAATGACCGTGCTGCCCAAAGAAATTTATAGATTCAATGCTATTTCCATTAAACTGACATTGACATTCTTCACAGAATTAGAAGAGAAACTATCTTAAAATTAATATGGAACCAGATAAAAGCTTGTATAGCCAAGACAATCCTAAGCACAAGGAACAAAGCTGGAGGCATCTCGCTATTCAACTTATATTACAAGCCTACCTTAACCAAATAAGGGTGATACTGGTACAAGAACAGACACATAGTCCAATGCAATAGAATAGAGAAGCCAGAAATAAAGACCCCACACCCACAACCATCTGATCTTTGACAAACCTGGTAAAAACAAACAATGGGGAAAGAATTCCCTATTTAATAAATGGTGCTGGGAGAACTGAGTAGCCAAATGCAGAAAATTGAAACCGGACCACTTCCTTACACACTATACAAAAACCAACACAAGATGCTTAAAAGACTTAAATGTAAAACTCAAAACTATAAAACCCTAGAAGAAAATCTAGGCAGTACCATTCAGGACATAGGCATGGGCAAAGATTTCATGACGAAGATACCAAAAGCAATTGCAACAAAAGCAAAAATTGAGAAATGGATCAGTTAAACTAAAGAGCTCTGCACAGCCAAAGAAACTGTCATCAGAGCGGACACACAACCTACAGAATGGGAGAAAATTTTTGCAATCCGTCCATCTGACAAAGGCCTAGCATCCAGAATCTACAAGAAACTTTAAATTACAAGAAAAAAAAAAACATTAAAAAGTGGGCAAAGAACATGAGCAGACACCTACAAAAAGAAGGCGTACATGTGACCAACAAACATATGAAAGAAAGCTCAACACCATTGATTATTAGAGAAATGCAAATCAAAACCACAATGAGATACTGTCTCACACCAGTCAGAATGGCTATTACTAAAAAGTCAGAAAAACAACATGCTGGTGAGTTTGTGGAGAAAAAGGAATGCTTTTGGTGGGGGTCCAAATTAGTTCAACCATTGTGGAAGACAGTGTGGCAATTCCTCAGAGACCTAGAGGCAGAAATACCATTTGACCCAGCAATCCCATTACTGGGTATAAACCCAAAGGAATATAAATCACTCTGTTACAAAGATACATGCATGTATATGTTCGTCACAACACTATTCACAATAGCAAAGACATGGAATCAACCTAAATACCCATCAATGATAGACTGTATTAAAAAAAATCGTGGTACATATATACCGTGGAATACTATGCATTCATAAAAAGGAACAAAATCATGTCCTTTGCCAGGGACATGGATGGAGGTGGAAGCCATTATCCTCAGCTAGCACAGGAACAGAAAACCACATACTGCATGTTCTCACTTGTAAGTGGGAGCTGAATGGTGAGAACACATGGTTACATGGGCAGGAAAAACACACACTGGGACCTGTTGCAGGGTGTGGGGTGGGAGGATGGAGAACATCAGGAACAATAGCAAATGGATGCTGGGCTTAATACCTAAGTGATGGGATGATCTGCAAACCAACGTGACACACGTTTACCTGTGTAACCAACCTGCACATCCTGCACATGGACCCTGAACTTAAAATAAAAGTTGGAAATGAAAAGAAATAAGATAAAATAAAATAGATTTTGTTCTTACAAGTAACATGGTTCCTTGTGAGACCAGTATGGATGTTGCATTAAATAAATTTTAGGAGATTTCTCTCATAAATTCTTCCCACTCCTAATGTAGGCAGTTTAACTAGTTGTTATATACAACTCTCATTTTCTCTCAAATTTTACATTTACATGCAAATTTCCTCTGAAATTTACCTCAGAAAAATTGTGTAGCTGCTGCTTTTAGAACCATTTTCACTGATAGCTGTGAGCTTTTGAGCTGCTGTTGGTGGTGGGGGAGTGGTGGATGGGGAATCCCACAAGCCAAAAAAGATGAAGCTGAATGGGCCAAGTAAAAGCTGTACTCATGATTAGCTTGAAAATGCTGTCTCCTACCTCCTTGAGAAGTTGGGAAATAAAGTTAAAAATAAAAATCCTGTCTCCTGATGGCCTCTCCTGAATTCTGAACTGGCCCTAGAATACTGGTATCCTGACCAGACCAGTGTGGCACCACTCTGCCTCCTGACCCCAGCATCTGTTTGTGATAGAGGAGCTGCAGGGATGTTAGTTGTGATTATTTCTAGTTTTCTAATAATTTTTTTGGTGTATTTTAAAATATTTTTTTGTTACTGAGTTTAAATTCATATAACATAAAATTAGCCATTTTAAAAGGAATGTTTTCAGTGTTTTCATCTACCTTGTAGCATATAGCAATACTTTGTTCCTTTTAATGCCTGAACACTCTTTCTAATCTTTTTTCTTGATCTATTGCTAGGTAGTTATCAGTTGCACCAACAAGGCTTAGAAAATTGCTGTATGATCAGACTGGTGCTTTCCCTCTGATCCCGGATCCATATCCCTTCCAGAAGTCCCTGCTGTGTTGATTATGCCCATATCAGCCCTGTCTTCCCATGTTGTTTAATGCTGTAGTTGTGAATTTCCTGGTTAGCTCCTCCTCATCAGATACCCTAGGCTTAGGGACTGCTGTTGGCCTTTGAGTACTCTGGTATGTGTGGGTACATGGTGTAGGGCCTTATGCAAAGGAGCCGTCCAGGGCCTATCTGCTCAGTGGGGTCCAGTTTTTATGCTAAAACAGACACAGAGCACCACATAACGGTGAGTGACTATTGTCCTTTATAGTGGTTAGCTTTTCTCTACAGTGTGAGTGATCTTCAGCAAGAGTGATGACACACATTTACTGCTACCTGGGATTGCCTTTAAAGCCCCTTTCTCTCTGGATAGTCCTTCAGGACCTGGAACACCATGTACATGGCTGATAAGAAGGTCTTAGAAAAGCAGTCATGTTAAATCATTAATGGGGATTATGAAGATGACTGTAGACACCAGTTTTTAAAATGTGAAAAAATAATCTGATACATCACTTGATATTCTTGCATAAAGGGGAGCTCATATTAGCAAAAAGAAACTTTGTTTAAATACTTTTAAGTTTACAAAAGTATCTTAGGGTAACTTTGTAGGAGAAACTTATAACTGATTGTTAAATGAAAAAAATGACAGTTAGGATTTCAAGGAAATAGAAATGTTTTTAAACTAATATAAAGTTAAATAAAACTTAAATTATTTAGGACTTGTTTGAATATTCACAAATGTGTTATGCTGGATTATTGCTAATATTGTTATTATGCTGTAATAACATTTTTTTCCCCTGAAGAATTAAATTTTCTGCTTGATCCATTTATTAGGAATTTTTCAAAAGACTTGTTTATTACTACAATATCTAAATCCTTTAAAACCTATACTCTCCCTGCTTAAACAAGTAGTCTTCTGCTTGATCCATTTATTAGGAATTTTTCAAAAGACTTGTGTATTACTGCAATATCTAAATCCTTTAACACTCATACTCTATCTGCCTAAACAGGTAGTCCAGGTGACCTTAAGCTAATGTATATAGCATTGTAGAATTAAGTAGTGTTTGTCAATTTCATGACCCTCCAAAGTTATATGAAACCTTTTTTTAAAAGTTCTGAATCTTCCAAAATCTAATTCTGATGGTGTATGTTTAGACTTCTTCAGTGTATGTGTTATATACATTGTTTCATATTGTTTACATTTTTTAAATTCTTTCTTTATAGCTGCAAAAGAAGGAGCTGGTGCTGTTGATGAAGAGGATTTTATTAAAGCATTTGATGATGTACCTGTAGTACAGGTCAGTGAGGATATTTGAGTGTGATTACAAACAAGGGTAGATTTATTCTTCAAATTTTATTTTTCAAGTATGCCCATGTAATGTTCTTTACTAGGTCAGGTAATTTTATCTATTAACACCACAGGAGATCTGAGGTGCAGACTAGAAAATGTTGGAGCAAAAGTCAGGCACAAGATGATCTTTCAGTAAGAACAGGAAAGACATTGGTTACTCCATTAAGTTTATGGATCAGGTCACATAGAAGAGAAAGAAATAGATGATGCTAAATTAGAGAATGAAAATGTATATTTATTTAGGGATTTTTCTTAGAAAAATTCATAAAATTGAAAGGTTTGAGTGTCTGAAAGGTTGTAGAGAATGGTTTTATAAGAGCTAAGTTTATACCTTCTTTGATGCTTCACTTTAAGTACCTAACAGGTGAAACAAAGATTATTTATAAAAATTGGAATACAGCCACAAGTTTTTGACTACTTTTTGCCTTAGTATTGTCTGTTGCTGTTTGAGACTAGTACTTTTCCTCAGCCGACACTGACGGTGCTCTGGATCCCTGTGGCACTTACTGTCTGTTATGTACAACTCTCTTTACCACCTTGGCTGCCATGTGTGTAAAAAAGCAGGTAACAAGAATCTCAGTGGCCTAGGCAACATGGCGAAACCTCATCTCTACAAAAAGTACAAAAATTATCCATGGTGGCATGCACCTATTAGAGGTCTAGCTACTGGGGAGAGTCAGGTGGGAGGCAATCCTGAACTTGGGAGGTGGCGTTTGTTGTAAGCTGAGATTGCACCACTGCGCTCCATCCTTGGTGAGAGACCCAGCCTTCTTAAAAAAAAAAAAAAAAAAAAAAAGAATCTTGGGTTCAGGTTTATCCTTAAGTACTTGACCTGACCTTCCTAGCATACATCAAGATTGATTATACCCTATACCCTACCTGTTTTCTAAGTAAGATGTGGGATAAATGAGGAATAAGATTTGAAAGTGCCTAAAGTTACAGGTATAGTGTCATGTTAAAAATAATACTAAGTAATCAATGACTCACGCATCACTGACTGTCAATAGGCTTCTTTCTCCTTTGTACATGAAATCATCTGTGAAGTTTATAGTAAAGCTGTGTTTGAGGCAGGGTTATTCACATATGGAAACAAATCTTGTGGGTACGCATTTATAGTGAGAAAGATCCTCGTTACAAGGCAAGACTTTTCAGATATTTTCTCATAGGTATTTCTTAAAAATGAAATATCTTTTACTATATGTAATGTTCTTGACTTCATGTAATTAAGAAATAATCCTTTTGACCGGGCACGGTGGCTCAAGCCTGTAATCCCAGCACTTTGGGAGGCCGAGGCAGGTGGATCACGAGGTCAAGAGATCGAGACCATCCTGGTCAACATGGTGAAACCCCGTCTCTACTAAAAATACAAAAAATTTAGCTGGGCATGGTGGCACGTGCCTGTAATCCCAGCTACTCAGGAGGCTGAGGCAGGAGAATTGCCTGAACCCAAGAGGCAGAGGTTGCGGTGAGCCGAGATCGTGCCATTGCACTCCAGCCTGGGTAACAAGAGCGAAACTTCGTCTCAAAAAAAAAAAAAAAAAAAAGTCCTTTTATTTTACGTGTTTTTATATTGATTGTAAATTAATTTTGCTTACAGATTTACTCCAGCCGAGACCTTGAGGAATCCATAAACAAAATTAGGGAAATATTATCTGATGACAAGCATGATTGGGAGCAGAGAGTAAATGCTGTAAGCCGTTGACTTCATATGATTAAATTTTCATAAGATTTATTTAAATATAGCAAATACTTTGTTATAAAATCAGGGGCAGCTCTAATGAATTTTAAATAGTATACATTTTAAATACAAATTATCATATTTATACTTCAGCTTTTTAGTAGAATATCTCCTTCTGTTTTTTATTTTGAAAACACACCAACTTACACTTTTATGAGTCCTCTAGTCTTTTAACAAAGACCTAACTGTGAAATGTATGGTGACAGCCTCCAGTCTCACCTTAGTAGAGATTTTATTCTGTGATTGTTTGCCTTTAAAGTGGCGTTTTCATGGCATTTTTAGTGTATGTCCCGCAGTATTCTTTTCTTTCTTCATATCACTTGCTAGAAAGTTATGTCTCCTTTATATTTAAAAGTAGATTAGGCCGGGCGTGGTGGCCCATGCCTGTAATCTTAGCACTTTGGGAGGCTGAGGCAGGTGGATCACCTGAGGTCAGGAGTTCAAGACCAGCCTGGCCAACATGGTGAAACCCTGTCTTTAAAAAAAAAAAAAAAAAAAAAAAAATAGATTAATAGAAAGTGGGCTGAGGATGGCCAAGCGCGGGCTCACGCTTATAATCTCAGCACTTTGGGAGGCTGAAGCGGGTGGATCACGAGGTCAAGAGATTAAGACCATCTTGGTCAACAAGGTGAAACCCCATCTCTACTAAAAATACAAAAATTAGCTGGGCGTGGTGGTGCACACCTGTAGTCCCAGCTACTCGGGAGGCTGAGGCAGGAGAATTGCATGAACCCAGGAGGCGGAGGTTGCAGTGAGCTGAGATCGTGCCATTGCACTCCAGTCTGGGTAACAACAGCGAAACTCTGTCTCAAAAAAAAAAAAAAAAGTGGGCTGGGGATTAAAGTGAGGATGTGTCTTATCTGAGAAGGCTATTTTCTATTGGTTGGCTGGCAAGAAGAGAGGTGATACAATTGATATTGTATTGTATTTAAAATTTAGACCAGACAGTTAATGGTGCAGTGCAGGATAATAGAGATCGAGACCATCCTGATCAACATGGTGAAACCCCGTCTCTACTAAAAATACAAAAAACTAGCTGGGCATGGTGGCGCGTGCCTGTAATCCCAGCTACTCAGGAGGCTGAGGCAGGAGAATTGCCTGAGCCCAGGAGGTGGAGGTTGCGGTGAGCCGAGGTCGCACCATTGCACTCCAGCGTGGGTAACAAGAGCGAAACTCTGTCTCAAAAAAAAAAAAGAAAAAAAAAAAGAAATTATCCTGTAGGAATGCTTCTTTTTTTGATCATTAAATAAATGGCACTAGAAGTGGGGTGTGGAGGAAGGCAAGCTTGGGAGGGGCTTTTCACAAGCCAAAAGTTTTTAGTTATTTATCATGAGTGTCGTAGGATCTATAAATACTTTTAAGGTATTTCAAATGTAAAAAATCCATTTTTTTTGCAGAAATTAAGTATGTGTATCACAGATACTCCAGTTAAAAATTACTTTATCTTCTTTGTGATATGTAGATTTGTTCGTTGTATTAACTAATATTTAACTGCTGAATTCTCTTGGGAAGACTTTCTAATCAGTTGAACTTTAACTGTTTAGAGTTTATAAAAGTTTATCTCTTTTATGTTTGATGGGTTCTGTTGTTTTGTATATTCTGTGATTTTTTTCCTGTTGTTTTGTATATTCTGTGTTGGAATTGTTTTCAGTTTCTCTGAATTTTCTCTATCCCATTAGCTAAAAAAGATTAGATCTTTACTTTTGGCTGGTGCTGCTGAGTATGATAACTTCTTTCAACATTTGCGTCTTTTGGACGGAGCCTTTAAACTCTCTGCTAAGGATCTGCGGTCTCAGGTAGTGCGGGAGGCTTGTATCACGTTGGGGTAAGGACTGCAATGCTCCATATTCTCACCATAAAGTATTATCACCATAGAGCTTCAGAGATGTCTCCTTAAACATGTGAGCTGGGTCTCTTTCATTAACTTCTGACTAGTCTCGAAGACCCATTTCCAGTTAACACTTCTTTCAGTACTTTTACAATATTTTTTGCTCAATTATGTGAAATGTGACAGATTTTAAATTTTATTTTATTCAGTGACGTAGCTCTGAAGCCTTTATTTCAAACTTTGAAGCAGTTGTTAATATGGAAAAATGAATTTCTGTAAAATTCTGTTTCTCTAATTTTTCATTTAGTTTTGCTGACAGGCAATAGCATGGTTATCAGAATGTTTGTTTCTAGCAGAGTACTGTAGTTATAAAGTTAAAAGCGTGTACTGCAATAAAATTTTTCCTAGCTATACATGTACTAGTGATCAAAGTTAATAAAACTTTGTGTTGGGATGTATGTCAAAACATCAAAGCCGCAGCAGTAAGGGGAGGCATTGCAGCTGTTTAAAGTTTTGGCTGCAGTTCAGATTTTGAAGCCTGAATATTTTATGTTAAGATAAAAGACAAAAGAAACAAAGCAGCCAGGGGCACCTTTTCATATTTGTGTTTTATTCATATGTGATCAGTTTGTTTGTTTGTTTGCTATGCTAAGATTAGTTGGAGCAGGTGAGTTGGTATGTGCCTGGAGTCCTAGCTACTTGGAAAGCTGAAGTGGGAGGATTGCTGGAGCCCAGGAAGAAGTTCAACATGGGCAGCATAGTGAGATCCTGCCTCTAGAAAACAAAAACCTTCACAAAGACTAGTTGGAATTTTTTTTTTTTTTTTTTTAAATAAAAATGAAACATTGAGGCTAAGAACTATTTGTCAAGTTCTCAGCATGCACACCGGAAGTCTTAGACCCTTGTCCTTTATTCCTAGGTGACTTTAAATGAAGGCTCTAGATGTTAAGTGGTTTATATGCTTCACCATTTCTAAGAAGAATAACTACAGTCCACTCTCCCTTCTGTGTTTTAGGCATCTGTCATCAGTTCTGGGGAATAAGTTTGACCATGGAGCTGAAGCCATTATGCCAACTATATTTAATTTAATTCCAAATAGTGCCAAAATTATGGCCACATCTGGTGTTGTAGCTGTTAGGTTAATTATTCGGGTAAGTATGTTATAGGCCATACATGAAATAAGCCCAGTGGTAAATACTGATGGTTGATAAATATTAGAGGCATTTTAGTTAGCATAATTATATTGAGTAATTAAATGTATTAGCATAATTATATTGGAATTTTGTATATATATCTTTTCTCTCTACTTAATTGTAGCATATGAGCTTTTTATAATTTGTAATGTGAATTATGGATGTGTTACAAAGTTAATCAGGTATTGCTAACTCACTATTGGTTTAAAGTATTTGAACATCCAGTGTCTGCTTCTGAGTTTATATTGTATCCTTGTTGCTCAGATATTACTCTTAGTCTTACCTCTTTAATCCTAGTCCTTCCGTTTTAGGTATTTGTGCTTGTGGTTTTGCTGTTCACCCAAAAGTTTAAATAATTGTACGTAAGCAAAGAAACAAAACGTTTTCTTTGGTTAGGTTTTCTAGGCACTTATTTAAATTTATTTAATTATCCAAGTAATTTATACATAAGTTTTTAACAAAATCTATTTCACAAAGGCTTAAAATGGCTTTTCACATTACCTCCCTACCATTTTCAAGCTATTTTTGCCTGGAGACAGCTCTTGAAACTTTGAGGCTTGATGATGATGTCTTAAATCTATCCAGAATATTCTTGATTATTTTGCTTATTTATTTTGTATTATTTTTAGTTCTTACTGTTCTTACTTGCACTGCCTACTTAAGCTGTTAACCCCAAGGTCATTATTGGACATTTCCATTGAAACAGTATCAAAATATATTGGTCTGATGATTCCTTTTAAACCCACTCAGATCTCTACAGCTGAGATAATTTAGACCTCATACTAATGATTGTTTTAGGCTTATCTTCATGTCATTATGTTGCCTGTTCTTAGCTCTGTAAATTTTCTAATGGCTTTTGACAATATTCGGTAAATTCATTTTTCCTTTTAAAATCATTGACATTCTAATCTGATGTATATGTGCTCTAAGTGGGTTAGTAAGGAAGTGATTCTCTCAGTTTTGTTTTTATATTTGCAAGTCTTCACCTGTTTTTTGTTGTTCTTCACAGCACACACACATCCCCAGGTTAATACCTGTCATAACAAGCAACTGTACCTCTAAGTCTGTCGCAGTTAGAAGGTAAATTTTAAAGGATTTTCTCATTGTTTTTAAATTGTTTAAGAACAAAACCAATTCCAAATCTTCCATGGATAAACTTTCATGTTTAAAATGTTTAGTATTACTTAAAATCATTGCAATAAATGACTTTGAGTTGAACAATCAAGATCTAACTGTTTTGGGAAATGAATTTGGACAACTTCTATTGTGTTTCTGTATTTCTGTGTCTGTGTGAGAGACAGTCAGTTTGGGGGCTAGTGGCAGAAGGAGACGGGGAGAGGACTCCCTGTGCATTTTTTCCTGAGATTCTACCCTTGCCATCGGTCTGCCCTATTCCCTGAGTAAAAGCAGTAACTGCATGCAAGAAATAATTACCATAAATATCAGTGGCAGTAGTTTCATATTAACATAGGTAAGGGGAAGGTATGTGTTGTTTGCATCTTCTGTTAGTGATTTCTGCGATTCTGAATCTTCACTGTCACTTGGTTCCACGCGGTTGTGGGAGATATACACAGAAGACACAGGCAGATACAATATGGGTAACTAGGGGTTTGTTCCCAAGTCCCTGTCATACATGTCCTGGTGAGCTGCCCTAAACTACATGTGAGGAATGAGGACTCTGTTCTTTTAGCTCAGACCTGTGATTTGAGAGTTTTAAGAGTCTATTAGAATCTATGGACCCTCTTCCAGCAAGTGGTAAATGTACAGAATAGTATTGTGTAGGTTTTCAGAGAATTCATGAATACCACTAAAGCTTTTCCAGTAGCCTGTATTGGGAGTCTTAAAGGATGATGACTGGCAGGCTTGGGCAACCTCTTGGCCCCATTCCCTTAGCTGTGCTGCTTGATCCTAGCCCTGTGAAAGAGTGCTTCACTCTAAGGTTTAGAGGCCAGATGACCTTTGCCAGCTGTTTGTCTTTTTTCCTGGGGTGTCATGTTGATCCTGCTAGGTTTCTGTGAGTACAAGACCCTCTTAAGCAAGAAGCAGTCCTGTATTTGTCATTTTAAAATATATTTTATTTTTATTACTTTTAGCAAATTAGCCACAGACCATCTTTTTAAGAATGTTCTTTCTTTTTCTTTTTTCTTTCCCTTTCTTCCTTTCTCTTTTTCTCTTTCCTTTTCTTCCTTCCTTCCTTTTTTCCTTCTTTTCTTTTCCTTTTTTTTTTTTTTTTGCGGCAAGTCTTGATATTGTTGCCTAGGCTGGAGTGCAATGATGCGATCTCGGCTCACTGCAACCTCTGCCTCCCAGGTTCGAGTGATTCTCCTGCCTCAGCCTCCTGAGTAGCTGAGATTACAGACGCCTGCCACCACACCCGGCTAATTTTTATGTTTTTAGTAGAGATGAGGTTTCACCATGTTGGCCAGGCTCTGGTCCTGAACGCCTGACCTCAGGCGATCCATCCACCTCGGCCTCCCAAAGTTCTGGGATTACAGGAATGAGCCGCTTTCAGCCGTCCCCTTCTTTTCTTTGTTTCACCCAGGCTGGAGTGCAGCACACTGTAACCTCAAGCTGCTGGGCTTCCAGTTAGCTGGGACTACAAGCACATACCACCGTGGCCTGCTAATTTTTTTTAACTTTTTTTTAGAGACGGGGTCTCATTATGTCGCCCAAGGATGATCTCGAACTCCTGGGCTCAAGCAGTCCTCCCACCTTGACCTCCCAAAGTGCTGGGATTACAGATGTGAGCCACCATGCCCAAGCTTTATTTTTTTAATTGGCAAGTAAAAATTGTGAAGACTTAACGGTGTACGACATGCTGTGTTGATATGTGTATACATTTTGGAATGGTTAAATCAAGCTCTTTAACACGTGCATCACCTCACATACTTATTTTTTTGTGGTGAGGACGCTTGGAATCTACTCTCAGCAATTTCTGAGTATATAACATGTTGTTACTAACTCGTATTAATTACATATTAGTTACTAATCTCTTGAACTTACTCCTCCTCTCTGACATTTTACATACGTTACATCTCCCAGTCTCCCAATCCCTAGCCTTTGGGAACCACCGTTCTACTTTCTGCTTCTGCAAGTCCAATTTTGTTTGCTTTAGAGGTGGTGCCTCACTCTTGTCACCCAGGCTGGAGTGCAGTGACACATCATGGCTCATTGCAGTCTCTAACTTCTGGGCTGAAGTGATCCTCCCACCTCAGTCTCCCAGGTAGTTGAGACCACAGGCGTGTGTCACCACACCCAGCTAATTTTTAAACTTTTTGTAGAGATGAGATCTCACCACGTTGCCCAGGCTGACCTCGATTTCCCAAAGTGTTGGGATTGCAGGCGTGAGCCACTGCACCAAGCCTGAGTTGACTTTTTTGGTTTCCACACGTAAGTGAGATTGTGCAGTATTTGTCTTTGTATGCCTGGCTTGTTTCGCTTAACATAATATTTTCGAAGTTTATCTTGTCTTAAATGACAAGATATACTTCGTTGTTAAGGCTGAATAGAATTCTGTTGTGCATATATGCTACATTATCTTTATCTACTCATCTGGCTGATAGATACTTAGGTTGATTCCCTCTCTTGGCTGTTGTGAATAGACTTACAATAATCATGAGAGTGAAGATATCTCTTCAACATACTGACTTCATTTTTTGGGATATATACCTAGTAGTGGGTTTTATATCCATCTCATTAATAACTACATGAAAGGCAAAGAGAGCAAGGAAGAATAATCCAGCTATCTGAAGTCACGAAAAAAGAAATTTATACTATCTACTGAAAAAGGGTAATTCCTAACTGTATGGCTCAAGTGGGTACCCGGGAGAATGCAATCTATCCTTGACCTAGGGTTTAGCTTCTCCTGGGGTTAGAGTGGAGCAGCTTCAGCTTCCCCGAGAGATGAGAATGTAGTCAGCAAGTTAGAGGGATGATAATGAACTTCAGAACCTGACCAGCATCAGTTGAAACATTCCTCTTCCACTTACTGTTTGACTTGTTAGATGTAAACCTACCTCTCTGTAGGGTTCCGAGGATTTTCAATCATTAGGTAAAACATTTAGTGACAGCTTAATTTGTTGCTGCTGTGGCAGTTGTTATTTTTATCTCACTATTGTTAGGTTTCCAAGAGAAATTTAGACTGTTTTTCCTTGTGTAAGGCAGAATTTCTCCAGTAAGATGACACAGATCTTTGTTGTGGAACATTGTAGGATGTTTAGGGGATTCATCATCTTGGGCTGCCATTATAAAATTCTGTCAACTGGCTGGCACGAATAACATATTTATTTCTCACAGTCTAGAACATGCCTGTCCAACCTGTGGCCTGTAGGCTGCATACAGCCCAGGACAGCTTTGAATGCAGCCCAATACAAATTCATAAACTTTCTTAAGACATTACGAGATTTTTTTTTTTTTAAAGCTCATCTGCTATCATTAGTGTTAGTGTATTTTATTTGCGGTCCAAGACAATTATTCTTCTTTCACTGTGGCCCAGAGAAGACAAAAGATTGAACATCCCTAGCCTGGAGGCTGGAAGTTCAAAATCAGCATCCTTCCAGGCCGAGATTCTGGTGAGGATTCTTTTCCTGGCCTGTAGACCATCACCTTCTCCTGTATCCTAACATAGGAGAGAGGGAGGGAAGAGTGGGAGAGAGGACAGAACAAGCTACCTCTTACCTCTTCTTACAAGGGCACTAATCCCATGATAAAGGCCCCGTTGTGATGCTTAATCTGAACCTTATCACCTCCCAAAGGCCCTGTCTCCAAATAACCATCACTTTGAGGGTAAGGACTTCAACATATTAATTTGGTGGGGCAGGGAGACAAAATTCACTTCATAACATTCAGCAATTCTGGCCTTTGACACTAAATATGAGTCACTAGCTATAGTCACTGTGACAATAGAAATGCTGCCACCCTCGCCAGTTTCTGAACCATACATTCAGATTGTTGTTTCTGTATTTGGTCAGTGGGTATCAGTCTGAACTGTATGTCTTCATGCTGAAAGAAATAATAGGGACCAGTTCCTATTATTACAATAGCACACTCCCTCTGCCCTCAGAAAAGGAGAGCGGGAGCTTAAGAGTGCAGTGTAACCAAGGCAGTGCACCTTCTGTTACATATTCAGCCTGTACTTAGCACAGCTTCGTAAAATTGGTAACAAATGGATTACACACATTCTGACGTTACCATATGTATTGTGGAATTAGGAGTTCGGATACAGCAGTCATTAAAGCTTGCTGATGTCTTCCAAAGAAGCTTTATAGATGAGTGAAAAATGAGCCACCTTTTGAAAGATGAGCAGGAATAAGTGCAGTAAAGAGACAAGAAAAACCCAGACTTGGAAATGCCACAGGCAGAAGGGTGAAAGGAGAATCAACATGGTCTAGGTTGGGGCAGCAGTGGGGAAGGTGGTAGTGAGAAATGGGGGTGTGTGTAGTCGATGGCTTTTCCTTTGAAAAGACTTGCCCCACCACTCCAGCCCCACCACTGCCAGCCCTGGGGCCAAGCTGCGTGGCTCTCCTGTGAGCTGCTGGAGCTCTTGCATTCCTGGCAGTGTAGCTTGTTTCTTGTCTCTCTCCTTCTCTGGGCTGTGTCTTGGCTATCATTGGATCTCTAGCATCTAGCATAGGGTAAATGGTTAGTAAGTAATTATTTTTATTTATTTATTTTTGAGACAGGGTCTGACTTGATTGCCTAAACTGGAATGCAGTGGTGCAGTCATAGCTCACTGCAGTCTCTAACTCCTGGGTTCAGGCAGTCTACCCACCTCAGCTTCCTGAATAGCTAGGACTTTATTAGTGCTTGCCACTGCACCCAGCTAATTAAAAAACTTTTTTTTTTTTTTTTTTTTTTTTTTTGTACAATCTCTCGCTTTGTTGCCTAGGCTGGTGTTGAATGCTTGGCTTCAAACGATCCTCCTGCCTTGTCCTCCCAGAGTGCTGGGATTACAGGCGTGAGCCACTGCTCCTAGCCTTGATTTATTGAGGGATTGTGTATAGATTATAAATTGTGAATTGGGAGGATTATAGGAAAGAAAGTCTGGTCATTCCTTTAGATAAAGATTTTACTTCTGATTTGTGTGTGCTTGAATGAGTTCCTAGGACTATTGGGATTTACTCATACAAAAATAGAAATGCTAGACTTAGGAAAAATAAGATTTTATTTATTAATTTTTGAGACAGAGTCTCTGTCGCCCAGGCTGGAGTGCAGTGGCATGGTCTTGGCTCACTATAACCTCTGCCTCCTGAGTTCAAGTGATTGTCCTGCCTTAGCCTCCTGAGTAGCTGGAATTACAGGTGCTCGCCACCATCCCCAGCTAATTTTTGTATTTTTGGTAGAGATGACTTTTTGCTATGTTGCCCAGGCTGGTCTTGAACTCCTGACGTCAGGTGATCCACTCATCTTGGCCTCCTAAGGTGCTGGGATTTTACAGGCATGAGCCACTGTGCCCAGCCAGAAAAAGAAAATTTTGTAGAGGTAGAACCTGAAGTGGTGATGTAATCTAAATTGTTTTTGTGCACAAATCAGACCAAGAAAAATCGTAAAAGTGAAAAGGCTTAAAGAAGGATGCTGAAAGGTTGGTTGGTGGAAGGCAAAGTAGTTGGACAAAATCCATTTTAAGCACTACCTAGTGTCTTTTTAGCATGAAAATATGCAGAGCACTTAGTTTTTCAAGGTACTTTTTACTTTCTTTGGGCAAAGCATTCTCTGAAATTAATGCTAAGACCCGATTCTGTCATGTTTGTTGATCTTCTCTGTGTGTGTACATTCTGTATTAACATATTACTTAGGATAGTTTAAAAACAAATGATAGTGATAAGCCCTTTTAGTGATGTTGCCGTGAAGCGCAAGCTTCTGATTGGCGAGAAGCTCTTGGATCTTGTCTCTGTGCCCCTGTGGCAGTGGTAGGTGGTGCTTAATGACTTTCATTTGCTTTGGTTTTCAGTCAGTTCTGATTCATTCTTTATGTTCTGTTTTTCTAATCATAAAAATCAAAAGAAATTTACTTATTATTAAAAGTCGTATTGGGTCACTTAAGAAAAATGTTTCATTTTACTAACGTATATATTAATAAATTATGTATTTCTTAATACTTTTTAGGCGCTGTTTTGAATTTTTAGATTTGCTTTTACAAGAATGGCAGACACATTCACTAGAACGGTGAGCATCTGATTTGAAATCATTTTTTCCCTCTGAATTGAGTCTTGAGAGTGAATGCTTTGGTGAGTGGTCCAGCTGGCTTTCTATAAGAATGAAGGAATATATACATTTGTTTTCATGACTGCATCTGTTGTTTTACTGATGTTAGCCACGTAATATTCGCAGATGCTTTTAGTGCATTTCATGATTGAAATACTAGTGTGTCCATGTGCATTCTGACAGCTACAAAGCCAGTGTAAACTCTTACTGTCTCTGGCCCTGCTGTTTATCATTACTTTCAGCTCCCATGAGGTAACTGTTTAAAGTTGCTCTTAGTAGGCAAGTTGTAACTCTTAGGTCCTTAAAGGAATTTCACTTACTTGAAAGTTTTCTTTTTCTCCCTCTGTATTTGATGCAGACAGCCTATTTAATATTAAAATGATTATCTCACAATTTCCATAGAAACTAGCTCTGATGTGAAAAACACAAGATTTTGTTGTTTGGATTAATAAGTGTGAACTTTAAAAAATCAGCTTTTATAAAAAAAGAAATCCCACAAGAGAATAGGGTTATCAAAGTCCTTAGGTGTGGGTAGGTTGGAGTGGAGCGAGGGTGTTGGGTCAGGGTTGGAAATTAAAGGGCTGTGGGAGTGCTCTGCTTTGCCCAGCCACGTGTGAATTGACAGCCTTGGCACAGAGGCTCCAAGTTCCATGTTGCCGTTTTGAAATTATTTCTCCCACCTGGTTTCATCTGCAGTAAACCATACGTTTATGATTGTTACTGCTTTCTTTTCTAAATATCTAGACACATATCAGTATTAGCGGAAACAATAAAGAAAGGAATACACGATGCTGATTCCGAAGCAAGAATAGAAGCCAGAAAGTAAGTTTTTATTGCACACCACTTTTTAAATTAACTTCTTCTGAATTTCACATGAATTGAGTGGATTGTCTTATTCAAATCTTGTTAAGTTACTTGAACATGCTTGTTAACCATGACTTTTAAACATGATTCCCAAAAGGCCATTTTGGAATATTTCCCTCTTTTTTTTTTTTTTTTTTTTTTTTTTAATAACATCACTCAACCTTGTAAGTAAACAGGACTGAGGGAGACAAAAGAATGTTTATTTTTACATTCATCACAAATTATCACACAGATTTGGAAGGCACTTGTATGCATGCTCAATGTATTCTTTTACTCATGAAGCCATGTTGTGATCCAAAGCTGCTTTAATGCATTACCATGAAAAACCGTGGTCAGGGAATTTTCTCTCTGCACTCACTTTGCAAGCATCTGATGGTGCCTCGGTGTGAATCATATTAAGGGGAGTTGGATTGGCCTAATGCTTGGGATTATCACAGTGATCACTTGCTATTTCTGTCTCACAAGTGAGGTATTTGTGCCATTAGGACTGAGTTTTCTCCAATCATGTGGCCATGGCCTCTGTATTTGTTACCTCCTTAGGAATAATTTTGCCACTGTGACTGTAAATACCAGACATTTGATATTAAGACATTCTTGTGCAGTACATAGATAACTCTTGCCAATTTTGCATCTGTGATTTGTTTTAAATTTTCTCATAGTTGACCAACTCTCCTAACTGATACATGCTAAAACTTAATTGTACTAGCCTATAATGTTATGGTTTACTTAGCTGCATTAACACATCCTTATCTAGTACTTGCTGCTCTTTGGCTGCCTTCACAGTTAAATTATTTTTCACTTGTTTCTGAGTTTATTGTAACTCTGAAGTGTTTGTGACAATGTTTTCTTGGCTAGTTTCTAACAAAATAAGTGACATAATTGTTGCTAAAAACTATTATGAATGGATTTGTTAATGATCTATTTATGCTGTTTTTATCTTCGTATTGGTCCCTCCCCACCCCCTGGCCCATTTTTTCTTGGTCTTTAATCATAATGTGATACCGATTTCAAGTAGCTCTGAACATTTTTGAATTTTTCTTTTGTACATGTTACCTAAGGCAGTTTTAAATACGTTATATTAAGAGATTTGAAATTGTGTTTATAATAGCTGCCATTGTAATGAGTCTGTCCTGTGTTCTCGGTATAGTCCCAGATGTTTAGCTCCACCTTCCCTACGATTCCCCAGTTTTGCAAGTTAGGCTCTGTAATTCCCATGTTATAAATGAGGCTGAGGTTGAGAGGGGATAAGTGACTTGCCCACTGTCTATAAGCCGGTAAAGTCGTGAGGCCAGGATTCGTACCAGGCCTCCTTTGTTCACCCTCTTTTCCTTATGCCATGGTGTGACTATCAGCAGCTAAACGGAGGCTTCCAGTCCTTGAAAATCTTATGTGGTGGACTCCAGAGTTCAGCGAAAGACCTGTTAGGATCCTTGGATTAGACAGGATTTTGTGTGTTTCCTCTAGATGTTACTGGGGTTTCCACAGTCACTTCAGCAGAGAAGCAGAGCACTTATACCACACCTTGGAGTCCTCCTACCAGAAAGCCCTGCAGTCCCACCTGAAGAACTCAGACAGCATCGTGTCTCTGCCTCAGTCTGACCGCTCATCTTCCAGCTCTCAAGAGAGTCTAAAGTAAGGGACTCAGCTTTGCTTATCATTCGTGTGAGGATTTGTATTTAAAAATTGGTTGCGGCCGGGCTTGGTGGCTCAAGCCTGTAATCCCAGCACTTTGGGAGGCTGAGGCGGGTGGATCACGAGGTCAAGAGATCGAGACCATCCTGGTCAACATGGTGAAACCCCGTCTCTACTAAAAATACCAAAAAAATTAGCTGGGCATGGTGGCGTGTGCCTGTAATCCCAGCTACTCAGGAGGCTGAGGCAGGAGAATTGCCTGAACCCAGGAGACGGAGGTTGCGGTGAGCCGAGATCGCGCCATTGCACTCCAGCCTGGGTAACAAGAGCGAAACTCCGTCTCAAAAAAAAAAAAAAAAAAAAATTGGTTGCATGAAAATACAAATTCTAGCTATGTTTTTACATGTGTGCCTGTTATAATGCCCCCTTACTTCAGGTAGATCCTGGTTCAAAGTAAGATAGCACCAGGGAGTGGTGGAGTGGTTAAAAAATAGGTGGCTTTGTTCTCTACCATACTGTTTTTCAGTTAAATTCATATGGCTGTCCTAGAATAGAGTTTTAGAGTAACATAAGTGAATTATAGAATAGTGTGAACTAGACACACCATTGCTTCAGAGAGTCTTCTCAGAGGATGTAAGTGTGAGACAAGTTTGGAAACGGAGGGCATTCAGACTCTGGGATTTAATATGTTACCGTCTTCACTCTGTATTTCTAATTTCTGTCTGGAGTTACTGTTTCACTCTGTCTGAAAGGCAGTCCAAAATATATTGCTTAAAGCTTTGTTAGGAATCAGGGAGTTTATAATATTGTGGTTCACATTGCCCAAAAAGTTCCAAAAACTCTGAATTCTTCATTGTAATAATTTCCTGTTGTAGTTTGTATTAGTTCAGATAAAGTGCACGTAATAAATAGTATACATCTTTATTTTTAGTCGGCCGCTGTCTGCCAAAAGAAGTCCTACTGGGAGTACCACGTCTAGAGGTGAGACTGACAGCCACGGAGAAGGCCTGTTACTGGCCCTGGTGGACTGTGTGCAGCTGCAAGAGTCTGCCCGGGCGCGGGAGGCTGGCGGCCTGCCTCAGTTCCTTCCCGGGCTTGAAAGTAGCCTGCTCTACCCTGCCCTATCCAGCAGGGCAGACCCTGCTTTGTCAGCACCACTCGCTGCTGAGGACCACATTTGACAGGGTGACTTAGGAGTGAAGCTCTGTGACCTTTTCTCCCCACCTCCCCTGCTTGTTGACACTGTCACTAACTCCTCTGCACCTCCTGTCTCTGATCCCTTGATGAGACAGTGAAGACATCTTGTGGCGTTTTGAGCAGCAGCAGCAGCATGATGATGGTTAGTGGGGGGAGGGTGGTATGTTCCACAAAGAGGAGGGCCCAGAGGGCGTGGCCCAGTTATGTCGTTTTGTAAGGAAATTCGCCAGATGTGAGCATTGTTTTTCTTATTTCACTTCTTCATAGTAACCAGAAACATGGTCCATTTCTTCTTTGGGGTTTATAGTCTTCAGTTACAAGAAAACAAATGTAATTGATATGTTTCAGCTGAGGTCACATTTGGTTTCCTTCGGCATTGCCTGAACTCTCTTCAGGGATCAGGAGAAATTGTTGTTCAGTTTTTTTTATGCTCCAGCATTTATTAAAACTTGGTATTTGTTTTCAGGAATGCAAAACAACATCAAATTTCAGCAATTTGTTTTTAAAATTCTATGTAGTCCTTATTCGTATTTCCTCCTTTATCACTAAAGGTTCTACAGTTAGTACCAAATCTGTGTCAACGACTGGGTCCCTTCAGCGATCTCGAAGTGACATTGATGTGAACGCAGCAGCCAGTGCCAAATCCAAAGTCTCCTCATCTTCAGGCACGACGCCTTTCAGCTCTGCAGCGGCTTTGCCTCCAGGGTCATACGCATCCTTAGGTAACCATACGCGTCACCCTTTCCCTCCTGCTCTGCTAGGTGAGAGATGACTCTTACCTCCTAGCAAAGTACAAAAACCCATGACCGAGGCAAGTCTCACTGTTGCAGGGCTTCTATTTAAATCTGAATAGCTTTGTGCCCTTGCTGCTGATTAGCCAGCCACCTTTGTTCAGTGTCCCTTTCTCTGGAGTGTCATTCGTTCTAGTGATGAGTAAGTAAGCCACCTCCCATATTGCCAAAGCTAAGTTTTTACCGCTCTGACACTGGTGGGAGCAGAGCCAGCAGGTTCAGTGAGGGATTCACCAAAGGTAGTCATTGTAATTAGGTGTTTCTCAATTTGAGACTATAATCAGAGTTGGCAGGGGTAGGACTGGGTCGTGGGAATGCCAGGAGGAATCTGAAGGAATGTGATGAGCTAATGAATCAGCATAACCGTGTCTGTACAAAAGAGTGTCGTCCTTACATTTGTCATGTTGGGAGGAGCATGCCCTTACTCTGATGATTGCCCAAAAGAAGTTTTTAAAAATTACTTTCAAAACTTTTGATATATGACATAGTGATAGATCAGTTACTCCTATTTTTCAGCAGATGCTTAACACATACTATGTGTCAGGCTGATTGTTTATTTTGTTTTATTTTTGTAAGAGCCAAGTCATTCAAAGCCAAAATCTAGGGACTTAGCTGGATTGGTTCTACTTCAGGTTTTAAGGAAATGAAAAAAATTTAAAGTTTCTGAAATATTGAGATGGAGTTACTCATGTAACTTTCAAATTCCAGTCAGTTCTAAAACTAATATTCTGAAAATGTTTTGAACATTTGAAGCATAGTGAGCATATAGTACCCAGGGAAGATTTTAGGGTCTGCCATTTATTAGCTGTGTGACCTGGAGCAGGACATGGAATCTGTAAGTCTATTTCCCATAACTATAAATTACTTGTAATAATAGCCACCTAACTCATGTATGAAACTAAATGAAATTATATAAAGTTTCTTTAAAAATGATTGTCCTGTAAAGTAGAAGAAGGTGTGATTGTGACAGGAACATTATTAATTTGAAAGATAAGTGTTCTGGAACATTTGCTCAGTCTTGTTTTTTCTGTGGAAATACCTCATACACACGTAATAATTGAGAAGAAACTCATTAAGAACTCTCTTTTCAAATTGTTTTAACTATTGCAACATTATATAGGAGCGTAGTAACCATTGAGCAAAGGAGAAGTAACAGCTCTTCCCCCCTATGCTGAATTAGTTCTTTTAATTTAGTTTTTCAGTACTTACCTTTTCTTTAGCATATAAGATCCACCTTTAGTATTTGTAATTAGTATTTGTTTCATTGCTGGAAAAGGTGAGTAAAAATCAGCCTTTAGAGTACTTAGTATTTGTGTTTTTCTGTCTGTATTTGGAGTGTTTAAAAGTGGATGGTATAGACTTTCCCCAGTGCTAATAAAAGCCCTCATATCTTTTGGTGTCATAATACAGAGCTGACCCTTCAGAAGCACTGATGATAAGTTTTTAATCCAGTATTAACCTCGTCAAAGAACAAGACTGGAGTATTCAAATTCTGTTTCCTGAGAATTCTACCTCAACTTTCCTTATTGTGTCCCAAAACAAAAACACAAAAAAATTGAAGTAAAACACAATCCTAGTGAGAATTTGTTAAAATTGCTGCTTAGGTTGACACATGACATCTTTGCAAAAGTGTAGCATGAAAGCTGATGATCCTTTTCCAAACTTCCAGAGTCCAGACACATGAGGGAAGACATGCAGTACATAGGCCTGGACTCAGGTACCATGCTCGACAGCTTTTGCTGCGGGACGCGTAGTTGGGATAGGCATTGCTAGAGCAAGCTTCTCTGAGCTTCTTACTTGGCTCTGCCCTTTGGGTGACTCTTTCGTATTTTAGTTTCTAATCCCTCCTCTCTGCACTCTTCTGCTGGGATTTTTCTTCCAAGCAAAAGGAACTCTTAAGAAGATGAGAGTTGGCTAAAACAAAAATCTTTCTTTCAACCGTGGCACTACCCTGGGTTGCCCTTCTGTGTTTTGTTTTCCAAAGGCAAAAAACCATTATGCTATGTTAAGCTAATTTCAATACACGGCACACTTACTTGCTTCAGACTCTGCTTTGCTGTTGAACTTGTTTCTCTTTTAATTTTGTTTTAAATTGTACTTTTGCTTTTTTAGTAGCTAATAACATTCGGCTTTTTAATTTTTTGAATGTTACTAACTGTTCCCTGTTATCCCTTCCCTTGTTTTTTAATTTGCTTAAAGATGGTACTACCACTAAAGCGGAGGGTAAGCGGTTTGTTTCTGTGATTGAGGTGTGTCTCACTTTCTCTGGTCCTCTGTTCTCACCGAGTGTTGCCCAGTACCCGCCTGTCCTCACCAAGGTCCCTGCATGAGATGTTGCACGCTGTTTCTCCTCCTCTCTCTTCATTCTGTCTCCATTGGGTTTTTGCCCTACCTCTACCTGAGTTCTCCTTCCCCTTCTTGTTCAGTCTTTGTTCTTGTGTATTTTGGCGCTGAAGTATGCTGTGCTTGGTTTTTAATGCTGAGTCCACACTCTGGAGAGGAGCATCCCTGTCACACTGTGTGCTGCTGTCCTCATGGACTGCCTGTCTTGGGTTTTATTAGTCCTGAAGCACTGCCTTAGCTTTTGTTTCTTTCCTTTTGTGTTTTTGTGGGCCTCTCAGGATTTGCCTTTCCTGTTTTGAAAGTAAATTTCAATGTCAATTATTCAGACTAAAGGCTGGTAAACGTTTTCGAACAGGTAAATTAAAGAAATAAAAACAATATTTTTCTCCCCTCTGAAGGTACTACTGACTTATACCATGCTGTTTTTTGTTTGTCTCACTGACACATGCCTCATTCATTCATTTACTCTCATTCATCCCCCTGTCAACCATGTATTAAATGCCTTCCATGTGCCATGTTCTGTACTAACCACCGAGGACGTAGCAGTGGTGAAAGAAATAGGCATATTGAAATCGACTTTATTTTCTTTTTTATGCCATTCGCAGGAAGCTCTTTGAGGAGGAGGAGGAGGAGGAAAAGAGGAAAAAAATAAATAAAAATTAAAAAGAAGCTCTTTAGGTTTTTGTATTACCTTTTGAATTTTAGACATAGTTATTTTAGTCTGTTCAGGTCTTTGATAAGTGCGTATAAGACGATATCATTCCTTTGCTAGGTAGAACACATGATAATGCTTTAAGTAATTGAAATTTAGACGAAACTTCTCTGCCTACATAGAGACTCAGACCCACCAACCCTCAGGATAATTACTTAACAATTAAGAACAACGAGTTCATTTTCATGTATTATTTTGTTGCCCTAAAGGACTAGCATGCAAAGTTAGGGGGGTTTAGCTTGATATGTGCAGCTCAGTTCTTCTAATCCATATGCTGCTTTCTAAGGGTCTCATAAAGGAAAGATGGGAATGGATTTATTTTTTAAAGATGAACATGGTCCCAAGATCAGTGTTTCTTAGATTTATTACATTGTGAGAATTATCTAGATACTGAAAAAATAGTCTTGGGTCCTTTTGCCTGAAGATGCTGATTAAGTTTGGAAGGAACCAGAGAATCTGAATTTCTAATAAGCCTCATTGGTAGTTCTTAGGGTCGGACAAGTTTGTAAAACAAAAAGTTTCCATAATGAAAGTATGGACAAGAAATCTCTGTCCTGATGAGGAGGTCATGGCTGATAGCAGAAGGCAGAGGCTGGTGTGACTGAGAAGCTGGTTGATATTTTTTTCATTTCTTAAGCTGACAGGAGTAATTTTATATTTCTCCTCCCCAGAGAAACAATCCTAAGTGCTTTCTCAGCCTTGCTGGGAGGGGGGGAGGGGAGTAGAAGAGAATGATGTAGATCAATGGGAAGCAAAGACATTACATGGGAAATTATATATATGTTTTTCCAAAATACCCTGATTTCTATGCCTATATAACAGAATTGAAATCAGCCTGTTATTCCACCCAGCCCTACGACTTTTAAACTTTTTTGTTCCCCATCAGTTTCACAGTCCTGAGTAAGGTCAGAATTGCCCTCTAAGTTATTTTTCAGGCGATTAACTCTGGTTTTCCTCCTGCTGGGAGAAGTTGTTTTATTAGACAACTCAGGCTCTGACAATAGAGACCCTTGCAGAAGGAGCATAGGGAGTGTCTGTGTTTGTGTACTGGTGCTGCCCAGGCTGTGGCAACACTGGCTAGTCAAAGCCTGGGGAAACCTGTGCGTTTGAACACATCTAGGCTGTCACTGTTGTGTTGGTTTCAGCAGTGAGACTCCGAGAGCCGGTGCTGTTTAGAAAAGCCGCAGTTGTTTGTTAGGTAAAGTCTGCAGAAGATGTCACCTGGTACCTTTTCAATATGAGTTTTCCACCTGCATTTTGGGAACTATTATGAGCCTTTAAAATTTTTTTTAATAAGTCTCTTAAATATTTTACAATCTAGCTTCTGAGACAAGATGATTTTAAAACAGATATATGCTCTAAATTAAAAATTTAGAGGGTGGTTCAGTGGCTCACGCCTGTAATCCTAGCGCTTTGGGAAGATGAGGCAGGTGGATCACTTGAGGTCAGGAGTTCGAGACCAGCCTGATCAACATGGTGAAACCCCATTTCTACTAAGAATATAAAAATTAGCTGGATATTGGGACTACTCAAAAGGGCGAGAAAGGAAATTGCTTGAACCCAGGAGGCAGAGGTTGCAGTGAGTCGAGATCGCGCCACTGCACTCCAGCTAGGCAACAGATCAAGACTCCATCTCAAAAAAAAAAAAAAAAAAAAAAAAAAAATTTAGGCAGTACGTTTGAGTTTACTGGCAATTTTATTACTATAGTAAATGAAAAAATGTATATTCCTTAGGAGTTATTTATTGTACACTCAAGGAATCCTAACATTTATGACTAATTAGAAAAATACTTTTTGTAAAGAACTAAAAACTAAACTTCCGGATGAAAGTTTATTTCTAGGTTATCTTTAGTATGTCTCAGTAATTTTGGAGATTTTCATGAGGGAAACATAATGTCTTTTATGTTGCACATGAGAAAGTTTATGATTAGATGTCATATGGTAAATGAATGCATTCTCATACTTTTTAAAAAAGCTAGTATGCTTAGGAAAAGCATTCATATTTTTTCCCAAAATAAATAAATGAAAAGTTGCAGTGCTTGAATGGCCTGTGGGACTGACAACCATTGTTTGTTTTGAGGAATAATCATTTTTATTAAGATGTAGTCAAAGACCATATCAACTTTTGGCGATTTTAATTAAGATTACATAATAAATAAAAACTATATAGCCTTGTCTTCTCTTCAGGAAAAAGAACTTAGATTTTAGTACAGTTTTACTGGGGAATAAAACGTAAAAAATTATCCAAGACCTGTGAATTTTAGGTACTTGGCCTTTTTACACGATGGGAAAAGTCTATTTGTCTATGTATAGAAGTAAAAGAGTGTTAAGCTTCTTTTAAATTAGTCTTTTTTTAAAGACAGGGACTCACCTGTCACCCAGGCTCTGGAGTGCAGTGGCTCTATCACAGCTTACTGTACCTTTGACCTGCCTCAGCTCTACACCCTGCCTGTCAGAGTAATAACTGGGACTGTAGGCATGCACCACCACACCTGTCTGGCTAAGTTTTTCATTTTTTGTAGAGATGGAGTCTCTCTATGTTGCCTAGTGTGATCTCCTGGGCTCAAGTTATCCTCCTGCCTCAGCCTCCCAAACGGCTGGGATTACAGGTATAAGCCACCATGCCCAGCAGGAAGTTATTCTTTTAGGGAGAATAGTTCTAGGTAGCGAAATTTAGAAATGATCAAGTTCTTCAATTTGGTTCCCTGAAAGATGCCAGTGTATGAGTAAAGACTGGTTTAATTATGCCCCCAAGCAATAAAATGTACAACAGGTATGTATGCCAAAATGTCATAGTGTGATGAGAATGGAGATTTGCTTTGAAGACCTTTTAATTTTACAATCTTTAATTTGGGAATTGGCTGAAAAATTTGAAACATGTAGGAAACAGAAAAACCCTAGTGACATGAAGTAGTGGTTTCTCAGCTGCCTAACAAGGAGATATGGAAACCATGCCTACAAACTACACTTGGTACACAGGCTGAGTTTCTCGTTTTAGAGTCTTTTTTAGAAGGAATGGCAATGTGAGTGAAAAAGAATCCTTAGGAGCAGGATTAAAAAGTCATGAGATGAAAGCCAAAGACTGCGCTCCGCAAAGTCTTTGTTTGCCTCTGGGTCTGCCTTTGCTCTGGTTAGGTTGGTTTGTTGATGCATCTCTTGTTCATCCTCCCTCCAAAATTCTTTTTGTTGTACTGTTCTTTATCTCTTTTTTTTTTTTCCTGTTACTTGTGCTATTTTTTCTTCTTTCACATTGATCTACTTGTCTGTCACTTAATAGATTATAATCCAGAACTAAAGTATATTTTTACTGTTTGTTGCTTTATTTTTATTTATTTATTTGTATTTTGAGATAAGGTCTCATCATCCAAGATAGAGTACAGTGGCACAATCATGGCTCACTGCAGTCTTGACTTCCTAGGCTCAAATGATATTCCTACCTCTGCCTTCCGAGTAGCTGGGACTACAGGTGTGCAACACCATGCCCTGCTAATTTTTTGTATTTTTTTTTTGTAGAGATGGGGTTTTGCCATGTTGCCCAGAGTGGTCTTGAACTCCTGGACTCAAGTGATCCTCCTGCCTTGGCCTCCCAAAGTGCTGGGATTACAGGCGTGAGCCACCGCACCCAGCCTGCTTGTTGCATTTATTGAGACTTTTCCCCCAAA